CCCCTGCCTCAAGGTATTAGATCCATCCTATAAATTACACAGTAAACTGCATGTAATGCTGACTGCAGCATTGTCAAGGCCAAGGGAATGAAAGCAGGGCAAGGGACATTACGTTTAAACAAACAATATCCCCCAAAATGGGATAAGATAAACTCAAGAAATAATTCCAGCTAAACAGACAGAATATAAATCAAACAGCAAGCCACTGGGAGCCAGCCCTAAACCTCATTAAGCTCAGAGGAAACAGGAGACAGAAAATGTAAGCAGGCTATGAGAGAAACTAAAAGTACTACTAGAACACAGATGGGATTTCTGCAGCCCTCTGCATGTTGTTAGGTTGCAATTCCCATCATTCCTCACCACTGGCATGGTGAGGTCTATTGGAGTTGCAGCCCAATGTCTTCTGGAAGTCTACAGTGTTAGCCTGGGTAGCACAAAGAAGGAGGTTGGCTTTGTCTTGCTGAGTTTCCACAGTGCCTCCCCCTCCAGGTGGGTCTGAGGGGAAAGCCGTCATTCCAGCCGAAGGAGATGGGTAGGTGACTGGCTTCCTCCTCAGACTATGCACTGAGTGACACCAACCCTAGTGACGCCACTGAATGCGCACACAGCACACACACACGCCTCCCTTTCCCACTTGGAAAGCAGTCCCACCAGTCCTGGAAGGGGCCATAGGGCAGTAGAAGCACCCATTAGCAGCCGCAGTAGGTGAAGGGCACAGCTGGGTATCACCTCCTCTGAGGCATCACCTGGTGTGATCCATACCCCCAGAATGCCCCTCTTGACTCCCTTGACTCATGTAAGGAGGCAAGTGTAATATTTGGCACCCTTCTCTGCTCAAATTGATCATGTCTGAAATGGTCCTGGGGGTGTCTTTTGTTGGAAAGCTTCATTTGCAAGACCAGCTGAACGACATTTCTAAAAGCTGTGGCATAGTGCCAATCGTGACATTACTCCACGATTGGCACTGAGCCAGTCGTGACACTCTTCTATGCTCAGGCAGAACACTCTTCCTCACTTTGGTCAACTGATGGGAACACCCCGATCCAGAACTGAAACACTGTGGTTTGCAACAAAAATTCCCAAACTGCCAGGAAGTCTGGGGTGGTAACCCCCAAAAGTAAACTCTCTAAGCTCTGCTTGGATTTTGTAAGTGGGGGGTGTTGGTAGTGAACCAGGAGTGCTTTCACGCCACACAATTATAGCTGTAACTCCTATAGCAACATCTTCCAAGGGAATCCAGGGATTTGCAGTTTAGGGGGCAATACTTAGAATTTGCATCCAGAAAGCTGAGTACCAGCCGGCCCCATAGATTTCATAAGGCAAAGGCATGGCAGTTAAAGGGAGGGCAGAGTGCCATGACTGGGGAGTTGCATTTGGCTCTGCTTTGAGTGACCCCTTGGTTCCACCTCTACTGTTGGCATGCCCTCGGGACCACCAGCTCTGTTGGGCACCGGCCACACTGGCAGCCATTCTCATCCCTTCTGCAGGTGTGCCCCCTAACCAGGGATACCTGTGGCTTCAGCTCTTTCTTCTGGGGAGTATCAGGGGGTCCAAATCCTGTCCATTATGCAGATATAGAAAGACTCATCATATCCAGCTGTGTTTT